TGAAAGGGACGAAGATGCTACCAAGTTCCCCAGCTTTCCTGCATCGTTTTGGTGGGCCACCATCACCATGACTACGGTTGGCTACGGTGACATCTACCCTAAAACGTTATTAGGGAAAATTGTGGGAGGCCTCTGCTGTATTGCTGGGGTTCTGGTTATTGCCCTTCCTATCCCTATCATTGTGAACAACTTTTCTGAGTTCTACAAGGAGCAGAAACGCCAGGAGAAGGCAATTAAGAGGAGAGAGGCTCTTGAGCGGGCCAAAAGGAACGGGAGCATTGTTTCAATGAACTTAAAAGATGCCTTTGCTCGAAGTATGGAACTGATAGATGTGGCCGTTGAGAAGACAGGAGAGCCAGCCAATACTGGAAATACAAAGGACTCAGCGGACGATAATCACCTATCTCCGAGCCGATGGAAGTGGGCCAGGAAGGCTCTGTCGGAAACCAGCTCCAACAAGTCTTACGAGACTAAGTACCAGGAGGTTAGCCAGAAGGACTCCCACGAGCAGCTGAACAACACTTCTTCCTCCAGCCCCCAGCATCTGAGCGCCCAGAAACTGGAGATGCTCTACAATGAAATCACCAAGACACAGACTCACTCTCACCCAAACCCGGACTGCCAGGACCAGCCCGAGAGGCCATCCACCTATGAAGAAGAGATCGAAATGGAAGAAGTGGTCTGCCCGCAGGAGCAGCTGGCCGTGGCGCAGACCGAGGTGATCATGGACATGAAGAGCACCTCCAGCATTGACAGCTTCACCAGCTGTGCCACCGACTTCACAGAGACGGAGAGATCACCCCTACCGCCACCTTCCGCATCTCACTTACAGATGAAGTTCCCAACTGACCTCACAGGGACAGAAGAGCACCAAAGAGTCAGGGGCCCACCATTTCTAACACTAGCCAGAGAAAAGGGGCCTGCTGCCAGGGACGCCCCACTGGAATATGCCCCAGTCGACATAACTGTGAACCTGGACACGGCTGGTTCCCAGTGTGGGCCTCTCGGCCCTTCCCAGTCTGACAATGCCACCGACAGCCCGAAGAGCTCCTTAAAAGGCAGCAACCCACTGAAGTCCAGATCCCTCAAAGTGAACTTTAAGGAAAATAGAGGCAGTGCACCACAAACCCCACCCAGCACAGCCAGGCCACTGCCAGTGACCTCAGCTGACTTTTCTGTCACAACCCCACAGCACATAAGCACCATCCTCTTAGAAGAAAACCCTCCCCAGGGAGACAGACCCTTGCCGGGTACAGAGGTTTCGCCATCACATTGTCAGGGACCTTCCAAAGGGCTGTCCCCTCGGTTTTCCAAGCAGAAACTATTTCCTTTCTCTTCAAGAGAGAGGAGGAGCTTCACTGAAATAGACACTGGCGAAGATGAAGACTTCTTAGAGCTCCAAGGGACAAGGCAGGACAAGCCCGCAGACTCCAGCCCAAATTGCTTTGCAGATAAGCCTAGTGATGGAAGAGACCCTTTAAGAGAAGAGGGCTGTGTGGGCTCTTCCTCTCCCCAGAACACAGGTCACAACTATAGGCAAGACTTTTACCATGCTGTGGGTGAAGTAAAAAAGGATAATCAAGAAGGCTGCAAGATGGAAAACCACTTGTTTGCCCCAGAAATTCATTCCAACCCAGGAGATACAGGTTATTGTCCCACACGTGAAACCAGCATGTGACTAGTTACAAAAGCAATAAACACACACACACACACACACACACACACACACACACAAATAACTTGTTTCTTAAAAACACAATTAATAATGCCTGTGAACTAAACTATGGGAAGCCCCCCAAAAAGTGCATAAAATGTTATTTTTGCATGGCATGAACAGTTAGTTTAAGTACTGTTTAAATAAAGAATCAAGACTGCATTTTGTAACAAACAAACAAAAACGACTGAAGAACAGTGAACAAATAAAGAAAGCTCTGTTAGGAACCAATACTCTGCAATGTCTGACATTTTTGATCCTTTCATTTCAAATTGTAGTCAGATTTTCAAGTTTTAACTTTTATGTTATAATGAGTTTTAGCATTTGCACATGAAAGGATGAAATGTCATTGCATGCATTCATAATTACGAAGAGTCCGGTGCTTTGAGCTTGCAAAATGCATAATGTTGTAAATAATGGGGCCTCCATGCAAAAGTGTCAAGAACACGTGGAAACAAGTTTCTAAGACACAGGTATTTCCTTCACAGCTACTGTCTGGAGGAGCTTACAGACTTCCTGTTGCAAAATTGCAACCTCTTCTTAAACCATCTCGCATAACTTGCTTTGGGTTATAAAGCTCTAATAAGTACATTTGTTTAAAGGAATACAGTATTTTTACTTATTTGTGATATAACTCATAGGGTGCATTTTTCTTTTTTGCTTCTGCTTAGTTCTTGCATTTGTGGTTTTATTTACAAATCATGGAAATAGGCAAGATTTAATGACCAGATATCAAAATATTTGGAATTTAAGCTTGAAATTTCTCTCATGAAGTATATATCATACCATAGTCTATAACAAAATGGAATTTAAAAAACAGAAATATAGAAAATGTTACATCATACAACTAAACTTTTTTAAAAATTGCACTTCACATTGCAAATTAGTTCTTTTATAAAAAATTATATTTTAGCCATCTAAAGATGATTATTTTTTCTACCTTGCCCAACATGACCTTTATCTAACTAAAGATCTAAAACTGGGATGTAGATATGCCAAAATGGGAGTTCCAAAAAAGTGATTTTTGGCAAACAAAATCCAGAGCAATTTAAGTGAAACTGCCACGTCCCCCTCCATAGACTTCGGTCGGACATGAGTTACCATGAAAAGAACCCTGGCCTGACAATGGGTAGCCCAGTATTTCTCATTGAGGGGGAAGTGGGAGGCACTGCTATGTGTGGAAGTCGTTCCTTTTGCAAGGTGCGAATTATAGGACTGAAGCCACAGATGGAGAACCCTCAGTAATTACAGCAACCAGAACAGAAATTCCATCTTACATTTCCAACCCCATTCGCCAAGAGGGAGACAGGATTATTCTTAAAGGCCACATCGAGCATCTTCTCCTGGGCACAGCCAAATTCAGAGGAGTTAAGGCACTTGTTGGAGGTTGCCTTGTTTGTGACATCTAGATTCCAGTGTATTTGAAACCACTTTGTCTCACAGGAATCAAGGCTCTGGTCCCAGGTGTGCAACTATGGGATGTACAAACATGCGCATGGATAAGCCTTGACAACCTCTCTTGCTCTCAGTGTTGCCTCAGTAAATACCAAGACAAAATTGTTCCTAAATTATTAGAAGGCTTCCAGTTAATATGATTCCTTGGTCTCCCCGAAATGTCCAGCACTTGCCTCAGTGTCATGTGTTTGTATATGTGTATAGAGTTCAGGGCAATGGCCAGGAAAATTCTGAATCAAATTTAAAGCACAGTGTGTTCTTTAAAGAAAAAAAAATGTAAATTTCAGCCTATTTTTAAGAGACCAAAACACTTGGAAAAAATAACTCAATTATTTAGAACCTAACTGAAGTCTTTAAGGAACAGCTGGGCTTTTGGGGTTTTTTTTGTTTTGTTTTTTTTTTAATGAACAGAATCTGGTCATTATATCTCAGATAAGAAAACAAGTTTTGGTCTTAGTTGAAATCCAAACAGCCCTACTACTAGAAATAATTTTAAATGTCTGTTTTTTCACTGTGCTTAGAATTGCTTAATGGTTTTCATGTTTGTTTCAAAACATAACTTTTAAGGGTTTGTGGTCATTAATCGTTGATATTTACATTACTCATACTTACTTCAGTGTCTAAAAGTAAATGTTGGTCAGTTTTTGTAAATCTAGAGTGTTTAAATTTTCTATATATAGGTTTCCAGTCAAACAGTTACATAGCTGCTATCAGATGAATAACAAATAAGTTACAAAAATAATTTTCTTTACATAGTCTAATGAAGTAATACTTATTTTCTAATGCCTCACTGATGAATCTCCTTTTTTTTTTTTAAATTCATCTGTCTACATAAGTAGATTTGTCATTTTGCCCTGACAGTTGACTAATCACCTTTCCTATGTCTGTTAGGCCTTCTTCTGGGAAGCCTGCTCCAGAGTGCTTACTGTCAAAAACTCTGCCTAGTTGAAGAATCCTAGATATTCCTCCCTAAGGCCTTTTCCCCATTCAGTCTAAAATATTCTCAAGAACATCCCATGGAAAGCTTATCCTTCAATTCTTCCTAGGTCCTCTGGGCCAAAAGTCTTCTAGGGGGAAAAAAAAAGAATATTCCTCTAAAAAAAAAAATCTTTGACATTAGTGTATCACAGAGAGACGGTTTGGGGACTTGAGGGCTCCCAGGTTGCACTTCTGCAGTGCTTCCCAAACTTTTCCAATGAACATGTAAGCCTGGAATGCTCTGGGAATATACCAAGAATGAAATTCTTTAGAAGTCCCAGGTTTTACTTAAAAATCCATATCGATGCTGCATTTTACTCCATAGTATGTCTCAATATTCTGTAAATGATATTGTATAATACTTACCAATTATAAAATTGATACTCTATAACTTCAAATACCTCTCTTATACCCCCTGGAGAAATACGTTCTCACTTTGAGAAGCACTGCATGAGTGGGAGGGACATGAGTTGGTTCCCCGAGGGCCACTGGAGATTTCTGCTGCTGAGAAATCATTGCAGTGGCCAAATGTGAATGAGAAAAGATTATTTTAACAAATTAAAAATAACACAGTCCCAAGAATGGTTAGTTTGATTCTTCTGACTCTCTTAACAACCAGTGCTAATTACCACAAGATTGTTTTAGCTCAAAGATTGAAATAGATCTTAAGCAAATGGAAATAGAAATGGATGTGCCAATATATGTCTTGGCACTCAGAAGAGTGATATACTAAGAGGGTCCCTGGAGTTGACCTGATTCCCCTCTCAACATTTTCAGTAGAAATTTCCTCACTCCAGCACAACCAACTGCTTGGAAGCAAGCATCTGATCACACATTGTCCTGATAAGAGTAGGACGATTCATGCCAAGTGTCTAGTCTCAGTCATTTCTTTGTCAAAATGTGAAATTCACCAAGGAAAGTCAGCAATTCAACTGTCTTCTCTTGAAGTTTGCATAAGGAGTAAAAGCCTTATGTAGAGTACCTTATAGTTCCTTAACTCATAGTAGCCTTCACAGTTTTCAGGTTCACACTGGCCACTGGTGAATAGTAAAACCTAGCTTCATCCATGTTGTCTGGCTTCAAGTCCGGCATTTCCAAATACTATAGCAGAGTACCCATAATTGGGGATTTTTTCCCAATGAATATCCAAAATTATGTAAATAAAATGAGATATGTTTGTAGTCGCATCATTGGTTTAAAGCAGTGGTAGCTATGCCAAATGGTAATGACTTGAGATCATTGGTATTGATCATCTTTAGCACAGATGTTTGCCATTTGAGAATTCCCATCATAAAATACACATTCCTTCATTAAAGACAAAAATTCATTGCTCATAAGTTTAACATGAAATACACATTAGGCAGAGGACTACAAGAAGCCACTGGATCTTCTGAAACAAAAGTAAATAGAACTTTAGGAATACTTCTAAGTTCAAAACTATCATTTAATTTAACTTGATTTGTCATTTCATTCATTCAGCAAATCCTAGTTGTTAGAGTCCAACTCTTGGCCTCACGGAGCTCACTCCGAGCCCACTTAAAATCAAGCTAAGGATGATTCTAGCTATTGAAAAATGTATCCTTCTGAGAATGGAAAAAATCACTTGATGGTTAAATCAGGGAAGCATGTGACAGGAACAAATGAAATTATTTTCCAAAGAACTGTTTTCCTAAGAAATAGATGGATGTTATAAAGTCTGATATATAATCATTTTCAATCACAATTTAGATTGCACACTTAAAATAACAAATTTTTAATCTGATCGAGTGAGGTTGTAGCTTGTTTTATCTCAAAAACTGAAAAATAATGTTTTAATTAGATATGTTGCTTGTCAAAACCACTAATAATAGTCTATCACAAATAACTAGAACAAAACTTAATGATAGTGAAAAAGGTCTAAAAATTATATTTTAATGATGTATTTAATGATTAAGTTATTAAAGTAAACCATTTTAATACTTTCTCTTCCTATCAGCTATAGGCAACATCTTAGGGACATTTCATTCTCTGCTTAATCCTCTGAATGTCTAAATTAAAGATATTTAAAATTCAGTATTGAAAGACTACTTAGCTTGACCCAAGAGATTTATTTGTTAGATTCATGTAGATTTGGAAATACTTTGGGATATTTCACCACTGTACTACCTTTCCCTAAACAAAACTTAAAAAAAAAAAAAAAAGAAAGAAAGAAAGAAAAGGAAAGGAAAAAAAAAGAAGACACAAATCGATAAAGCCTAAATAAAAATAGGAACACTGAAAGTCCCATCCTTACTGAGGAATAGGAAAGATCCCAACTCCAAAATCTTGGTGAACATCCTAAATTACCGAATTGAGTGTTATTGTCACATACTATCCTTTAGTGTTTTCTACAATTATTTCTTCTACTTGCCTTTTTAAAACAGATGCTTAATTTCACAAATCTTACTTACCTTTGTCATTAATCTCTTCTCAATGCAAAATCTCTTCCTTATTAAATCTAAAAGGGTTTTAAGTAGGTTAACTTATGAGTAGGTTTATTTACATTTTAATAGAGGGAGGTAGAGGGGTTCTCTTTTAATAATAAGGCCACCCAAGGCCAGCAAAAGGTATATGTACAAAAAAGGAAAAAGGAGAAAGACTAAGAAAGATGTGAGTAAATTTAATGTGTTTTTAAACAGAGAAATTTAAATTTAAATGTATATATTTGTATAAAATTTAGACTAAATACTTATTTACATAAAATTTAGAATCAAGTTCATAATTTTTTTACTTTATTTATTGAAAAAATTACTTCTTATCATCTACCAGGTATACCTAGATTGCTGTTGCTATTAATTGAAAAACATTTTTGAGTGTTCACTGTGTGCCAGAAATTAACGTATGTACAATTCATTCCCTCAAGTTTACAGTTTGAGGTTTCATATGTAAGAGGTTATATTCCTAAGTAAAATTGAATTCTTTCTTTTTTCTTAAGTTTTGTTTTTATTGATGTCTTCCATGAACAAGAGAAACCAAGTGGGAAAGATAGAGAGAGCACCCCGCAGAGGCTCTTGACACTGTGATCCACCCCCCCAGCTTCAGCCAACCCTGGATCACAGCC